ATAGATAACTAAGTAGTTTTAGATTAGATAGGTAGTAAGTTATTAGGGATAGTAGGGGATATTATAGGAGGGATTTAGCACCCTCTAAGTACTAAAAATTAGTTATATAATGTATAAGTAGTAGTATAAGATAGTAGCTGCATACCCCTTTAGGGTTCTAGAAGGCTTAATAACACACACACACACACACACACAGACTATTAGCGCAATCCTTCACGCGGCCCGGGGGGAGATCCCGCGGTTGCCTAGCGATCTCAAGCTCCTACCGTCAACAACATCAACCTGATTCACCGTCTGGCTTCAACCGTGTCCGGGTGAGCTTGTCCATGGGCCCTCACCGCTGCATTCGGAAGATAGTCTCCGCTAATTCTTTCCTCGAGAAGTCTGTGCTTCTCAAAGTCCCGTTCTTTTGCCTCAAGCTATCGTCTCAGTTGACGTTATCTCACGGCAACCACGTCGTCCGATCACCAGGCGTCACCCAGTTCACTTCCGAATTCAGCTTGAATATGAGCAGACAAACAAGATCGTCTACGGGGAAACAGAGTGAAGACGCACATCAATCATCACCCGGTCCACCCGGGTCCAGGATCTCATCGACTCCAGCCTCTATCCCAACCTTGCGCTTCGAAACCCAATCCAAGTGGGAAACATGGCTGGCAGAAAACTATGCTACCTCATCTGGCTTGTGGGTTCAAATTGCCAAGAAGAACTCGAATATCCCGTCAGTGACCTATGACGAGGCGCTTGATATCGCACTATGCTTCGGGTGGATCGATGGCCAACGCAAGTCTTATGATGAAAGACACTTTGTCCAGAGGTTTACGCCTCGTCGGAAGAAAAGTCTTTGGTCCAAGAGGAACGTGGATAAGGTTGCCAAGTTGACTGAGGCTGGTCGTATGCAACAGTCAGGACAGGTTCAGATCGATACGGCGAAAGCGGACGGTCGCTGGGGCAGGGCATACTCTTCAGCCAGCGTGATGGAGGTACCACTGGATTTTCAGACGGCGTTGGAAGTCAACGACAATGCTAGGAAATTCTTCGATGCGCTCAACAAGACACAGAGATACTCATTCCTGTGGAGGATCGAGACGACAAAGAGACCAGAGACACGAAAACGCAAAATCGGGCAGTTTGTGGAGCTACTCGCTGAACACAAGACTCTTTGAAAAGGTTACTGGGCCTTTCTTTTGATGAAAGTCTCTTCATATGGAGCGGGTAAAATCTATATAATGCCTACTATGCCGCGATTTGGCTTGCATACTTCATGCCTGTACTTGTGATGAAAGGAATATCGACCACAGGTGCCTCATGCGATACCTTATCCCAAACCCTGTTAATACGGCTGACAATTGCCGCGGGCAGGGGCCCTCTCTTCAAGCCGACGAGATTATCGCCCAACTGAGGTACACTGCTTGCACCCATTACGATACCATCTTCATGTGCTGGATCGAGAGCAGAACTGAAAGCTACCCATCGAGTGGCTAGATCATATCCAGACACACCCGCGTCCTGTGCGATCTCATTCCAAGCTGTCAACGCCTCCAACATTGACGGCTTGTTGTACATCTCGTTGTAGAAGAAGCCCTGAGCACCTCCCTCTTTTCCGAATCGTCCAGCACCGTCCACGATCTGTTGCTTCGTCTTTGCTAAGAAGCCTCCAGCCGTAGGACTGTAAGCGTAGAAGGAGATGCCAAGTTTGCGTAATGTTGGAAACAAGGTCCTCTCAAAACTTCGGGTTAAGGGATTATAGTTCCCCTGGTAGACGGTTGGAAGAACCCAGCCTTTGGATTTCTGATGGTCGTAGATTCTCTGCACCTCTTCGGCCGTGTGATTGGAAACGCCGAAGCGCCGAAAAGCTCCATCTTCGAAAAGCTGTTGGATGCCTGAGAGAGTCTCCTCGATGGGAATAGTAGGATCAGGGGAGTGGAGGTAAAGAATGTCGATTTGCTTGATATTGAGCTTCTTCATTGATGCTTGAGTTCGCTGAATTACTTGGTCTTTGCGCAAAGAGCCAGGGCCCATGATACCAGGGATCTTCGTGGCGATATTGAAGCTTTCTCCTGCTCGAGCTTCACCGAGGAGCTCTTCGCTGTCACCATAACCTTGTGCGACGTCTATCTCCGTCACTCCTCTCACACCGAGATCTTCGAGGCATGACTTGAGGGCGGCGGGGGTCCAGTTGTCTTTGGACAAGAAAAGGCCCCCGCCAATGATCGGCTTAACTGAAGCCATGGCCACGATGAAGACTCGGGGGAAGCTGCAGAACAACTTGAGAAAAGAGATAACTTCAGAGTGGTAGCAGTTATGCGTGAGAGCTCGGGGCCAAGACGGACTTCACGGATATCAGATCTCCCATTTCTGAAATACGAAACCGAGGTATCGGCGGCTTCGGCGCCTACGGCGGTCAACCAGCCGCCTCAGGCCTGGGTTTCTCCGTCCGCGATCTCGTCTTCCAAGTCTTCGTCTGCGGCGTTGAACTCTCTCTTGCCTCATTCTGCGTAATGCAGCAATCGTCAACGCAACTGTCCGCTTAGTGAGCGGAAGCTGGCTACTCATGGTGTTGCTTTAAGTTTCCATGGCAAACTCAGCTTATATCCATTCTGGCGCTTATTGGGTCAAGTCGCCTCACACGGGTCGTCTCGTTGCCGTCAAAATGGGCCTAAACCTTATCTTCAGCGCATCGTCACATTGAGCGGGGGATGTTCCCTGCCCACAGACAGGCGAGATGGGGCCTGGAAACTGGGCCCTTTGCCAACTGTTCAGTGCTTTTCAGCCCTTGACTTGGCGTTGAGACCTCTATGCAACCGCGCCTGCAAGCATGGGATTCTCAAATGCGCTGTTTACCACAATCCTCCATAATCTCCCGAAGTTTGAAGACGATCAGACGCAGATGACGGACTGAGAGAACAAGGTTAACCATGAGTGCCCATCTAGCTGTTGACTTACACTTGCTCAATTTACCATAAGCCTATTGCATCAATCTGGAGAAACCTGCCGTACAGTTGCAGCAGACCCATCAGATCCTACATGGAACGGTTTCAACAGCTTCGCCGCCCGCCTGTAGATGCCACGGTAGCAAAGACTCAATGAATGGCGCAACTCGCTTACACACCGCTCCTTCAGCGGCCTCTGCCACAGCGACCCCAGAGCCCCCACAACGGCTATCTTGCCGAGTTGCGTTGCTGTGCTCGGGTATTCGTAGTGAACGGAGTACGGATGAAAACGGTCTGCCAACCAAGTGTATTTTTATAACGTAGATCAGGGTCCAGTTTCCTCTTTGAGGCTCGGGATAATCTCCATGGTTGGTTTGTTGGAAGTTTGCAGCTTGTACGTCGACAATGCAGTGTGATCCAAATCACCTGCTGCAAGGCAGCTTCACACCGAGTCTTAGGCTAACTTTCGCAGAAGTTGATTAGAATCCATGGCCCCTACGAACCCGTCCGCTTCCTTCTTTTCAACCCAAAAGCGCTCCGCATGCGACCGATGCCGAAAACAGAAACTACGTTGCCCAGTCCGAGTTGATGATACACAACACTGCGATCGATGCGTTCGAGCGGGAGTTCCTTGCGTCACCGGCTACACGCAGCCCCTAGGGCGTTCTTGTCATGACGTCTTGAGGAGACGGAGCAGCATTTCTAAGACGGCCCGCGCCGGTGGGATAAGGTACCAACCGACCGATCCATCGCCGCCTGGATCCTCCGGATCGCAGTCCACCGCCGAGACAAGGTCCGGCACGTCACTGGACCCGAGTCCGAGAGCCTCGTACTTTGGTGGGCTGTTGCCCAAAGACATTGATGACTTGCACTCACTCGCCAACCACCACTTCGACTTGGACGACCTTGCTAGTTCGTACGTGGAGTCGGAAGCGCTGCTGTCACTCCCGCAGCCAATTAATCTAGACTATCACATGGATATCGGAGATGGCCAAATTCATGATCCAGCTCTGTCGCACAACGAAGAAGGCAATTTCATAGCCGCACTTGAGTCTACTATTACTATAGAAGAGCCCAATGACTTTCGCAAGGAGTCTGAGGCCTTATCCTGGGCTCAATGCGATCTTCGACTGTCACAGCTCAGCGTTGACTTGTGTAAACAAATGGAGGTGTGCAAGAAGGCGGAACAACACCCCCATGAGGAGGACCAACCGGTCGCCGGCAAGACCAGGCCTGTTTCCACCAACCGACAGGCCGATCCAAACGCTTTCGGCAATGCTCTGTGCAGCACGTCTGAGTTCCTCACCATTTTCCAATGTAACACCAGACGGAGCGACGTGGCTGGGCAAGGGAGTTCCTTTCTTTCGCCAAGTTTTACCTGTATTCTCAACCTGCTGGCGTGTTATGCACGGATCATAGCCGTTTTCGACACCTTGCTACTCGATCTCTACGATCAACTCAAAAAGGGTCCAGCCTCTACATCACAATCCGCCACATCGAGGGATCCCCAAACTCTACCAGGGCTTCAGCTTGGAGGTTTCGTTGTCCAACAAGGCACACTACAGACGAAGATACTTGTACAAACCATTGAGCATCAGTTTGAGACCATTGAGAAGACACTTGGCCTACCTCTCGAGCTGAGGGTCTCGGGTAAACAAGACGAGTATCCTGATGGTCTACTGCATGGTGGTATAGATCAAGCTTCATTATCGAGTGTTTTGAATTGCTTTGGAGGCATGCATCAGGCAGCGGGCGCTGAGGATAGAACACATTTTGCGGCTTCACTAGCATCGCTGAAGGAAGCTATCGTTGATGTCAAGCGGATTTTAGACACATAGTGACAGAATTAGGCGATAAATTTCCACAATGAACGGCTTGTTGATTCAATCAAATGAAGCCTCACATCCAATTTTCTATGATGATAAGGCAATTGCGATAATCATCGCAGAGGTGATTCAGTTTTGACGCTCAAATCCAGGGAAAAGTACATGATGAAATGTGCTAATTTCGAATGACGCATTTGCATACAACTGCCACCGATCTTCAAGCTATTCTTGAGCCATACCCTTACTCCCTAGTCTTCAACAGCCTAGGGTAGTGTGCTTCCCCTGGCTCATCAAACGTCTCAATCAGTGCAGCAACGGCGGGATGCAGTCCTGATGCAATAGCTCTCCGAGCCCAATCCTCCATTGACAAGACTTCATACGATGCTTCAACACCATTATGCATCCCAATCTCATTCATCCTGTCCATGGGAATAACAATATCGCCCACATTGTTGAAGTACGAGACCCCATTACCTTGTCTCGGCTCAGCACGGAGCAGCTCCCGGATGATGTCAGAACAGACACTCTCAACACGGACGAGGTCAAAAGCCCCCTTGTTGTGGTTTGCCTTAGGTACGGCTTTGATGCGATGGGAGTAGTGAAGCAGAGCGTTGACCCAGTCGAACTCTGCCTCCGCGACACTGGCGTCATCGCCAGCGCGTATGATGGTCGAAGGCCGCTGGATCCATACCTTGAGGCCATACAAGGCATTGACTTTCTCAAGAAGACCTTCGCATACCCATTTGCCGCACATGTAGCCATGGGTGCCATCGGGCGACGGCTTGATTCCACTTGCTGTGGCCGAAACCTCAGGGAATTCGTCTTGGCCGTACAGCAAGCAGACTCCCACAGAAGAAACGTAGTGGATCGGAATCATGCGTGGCAGGCACTTGCGTACCAAATACCGGGTGGACTCGACGTTTGTTTGCTTGACAGCTGAGTAGTACTTGAGATGGGATGTGTCGGAGCCGTTGTGGATCACGGCGTCAACCTCCCAAAAGATTGAAGTCTCGTGCTCTTCGGTGAGGCCAAAGCGGGGAAGCTGTAAGTCACCCTCGTAGTAGACGATACGGTCGGAAGCAGGCGGCAATCGTCCCTTCTCAAGTCGTTCTGACAGCCGACGGACTGCGACGCAGATAATCTTCGTGATTGATGGCTGTTCCAAAAGCCGATTGAGGAGATGATGTCCAAGAAGACCGCTGCTTCCAGTGAGGAGAACAACGCTGGGTTGCTTTTTCGGAGGATTTATGCTTGGGAATGGGATGATGCCAAATGGTGGCGACATTTCGGCTTCCCAGTCGATCCCCTGAACAGTTGCATCGCCCTTGTCCGAGGAAATGCTTCCAGGTGTGGTGATCGAAGTGGAGGGTGACGTAGGCTCAGGACTGCTCTCGGTCGGTGGTGTCGCAATAGTGGTATTTGTGTCACTGGTGTTCCCATCATTGGGAGTGAGTGCCCCGTCCCGCGCAACTTGGGGAATCAAGTTGGAAGGAATGCCTTCAGCGGCGATCTTCGCCAGCGTGCCCATCTCAGATTCGTTGGACATGATCTTCAGCACCGGGATCGAGACTTGGAAGTTCTTCAAGAACCAAGACCGGATATCGACCGAGACGAGTGAGTCTAGGCCGAGATTGACGCTGCGCATGACCATTAAGTCATCGTCGGGTGTCGATATCTGTAAGATGGAACGCAATTGAGCAGAAAACGACTCTGGATCACTGCGTCAGTTCTATCGTAAGTTTCAAAGTGTGTGAATGGACTTACCCTGAATTACTCGAAGGACTTCAGCATCAGACTGACACTCCTGAAGACGGTCCTGGATCGATGCGGCCTTTGTCTGCTGCTTCTTTCCATCATTGCTCGTGGTCTGGTGGACGATGAAGTGGGCAAACATTGGGTTGGAATACCACTTGGGGATGTTGGCAGCGTCTGGAGATATGTCAAGAAGACCAGTTGAGATCTCGGGGCCATTGGGCGAGTCAGGGTTGCCGGCGTCGATGGCCTCGGCGAAGATTTGGTGGAAGTCATCCTCAGACAAGTGGATCATGGCCATCTTCGCGACTGTGACATCGAGTTGACGGTCTGACTCGGTGATGTAGCCCGCTCCAATCACGGCACCAACGTTAATGACGGTGGAAGCAAGACCGCGCTTCCTACGATTGGCAGCAACGCCACACATGCCCATGTTGGCGGCAGCATAGTTGGCCTGGCCGACATTGCCAATGACGCAGTTGATCGAGGACAAGAGCACGAAAAAGTCGAGGTTTACGTCGTGGAATATGTTGTCGAGATGGATACTCCCGAGGACCTTGGGTCTGATCACATCCGTAACCTGGCCAAACGCCATGTTGCGAACGGAAACATCTCTCAGGACCATGGCTCCGTTGAGAACTCCGACGATGGGCGGGAGCGTGTCGACGATGGTTTGGTGTACGGCGCGAAGAGCCTTCTCGTTGGTCACATCACTAGAAATAGTGTCAGCAATGAGATCTCGGATGTTTCCCATCAGAAAGAAAAACACTTACCATGAAATAATCTTGACAGTAACACCGTTTCGTGCATGATCTTCGACCCAAGCCGGCTCAATCCTCGGGTTACGGCTCGTCAAGACGAGGTACTTCAGACCTCGGTCAATCATCCAATCGCATAGTGAGATGCCCAGAGCACCCGAAAGACCGCAGATCCAGTACGTCCTGTCGCCTTTGAAAAGTGGTTTGACGTCGAACCGAGTGACTCTCGCGGGGACTGAGGTGCTGGCTGGCCAGTCAATGATTGACAACGGGTTCTCGGGGGGTTCCCCATTTGTCAAGCTGTCGAGATTGATCAAGTCATCAATGTGATCGTATTGTTGACTTTGGACGTAACCAATGGCCTTTTGAAGGAGCTGCTGTAAGACTGCGGGCGGGTGACGACTTGAGTCGACGGCGTTGGGAGAGAAGATCGTCTTCGTGCTCTCCTTGCGACAGTGGGGTGATAGGACAGACGCTATCGTCCGCTCATTCTCAGACTCGCGATGAGAGAGGGCGGAAAAGCAGGCAATGTCGCTAGGAATCAGACGGCCGATTTCCGAGCGGCCAACATAACGAGGCAATCTGATCCAAGAGGACGGAATCGGCACAATGTCGTCAGCATCCGTGGTAAAGATCACCTCCACGCCAGTCTGAGACGCCTGGTTGGAGATGGCCTTGGCGAGGGCCGCAGATGGATTGTGTGTGAGAGCTTTTTGGCCGTAAAAGAGAGGGTCAATGATTGCTCTGCTGACGAGATGGGCTGCGGCGAGAGTGAGGACAGCTTCATCTGTCAAGTCGGGGAACTTGTAGAGCACCGCCGCCTCCCTCGCAACTTGCATCACGGACGTCAAAGATGGCACGAGTGTGAGATACCGAGTACCATCCTCGTCAAGGCCAATGGCGAGGAATAGATGGTCGATCGGGGCTCTCACTGCGGAAAGAATAGCACGTGTGGTCTTGAGCTCGATGAGACCAGATCTGTGGTTTTCCAGGTTAGCTTTAAGCCTGAGAAATTATGGGAATCCAACACGGAAATCTTACTGTGTGGGATCAGGGACGGTTTCGAATCTGGACAATTGGCGGACGAAGTATTCGTTCTCCCACTTCAACTCAACCGGCGAGTCATCCATATCGACTTGGTGCAGAATGGGTCGCTGGACAGAGTTCAGTCGATCGTTGGCGTCGTGAATGGGCCGCAATCTCGGAACAAGCTGACGACCCCCGCCATCCATGATGATCTCAGGCTCCATAGTATGGAGAACATCACCGCTTTCCAAATGCTTCGCAGCGAGGCGAACGAGATTCTCGGCAATGGCCTGCGGATCGGCCTTGCTAGCATCGGGAATGTCCAGGAACTGTAGGCGAAGATCTTCCTCCTCATGTACAGCAGAGCGACCGAAGCCGACCGTCATGTTGGTGTAGGGCTCGTGGTCAAGGCGACCGCTGGTGATCCAGAGCATGGTCTTCTCTCCCTCGAAGAGTCTTCTGAAGGCGGTCCATCTCGTGGGGCTAATATCCTTGAAGACAGGGAAATCGAGCTCTGTCAAACTCAAAATGAGTGCATTGGGCTCCAAGATACTGTCATCTAGATCCTCCAGGGCCTTGAAATGCCGAACAATGCCGAACAGAGGTGCGAGAAGATTGTTGATCTCTTGTGAGACGTGGGCTACAGGGCCTGTCTGGCCGCCAATCAGGATAAGTTGCTTCTCTCGCAGTAGATCCTGTGCGGAGGATAGCGGCTGTCTAATGAGACCAACGCGGTCATCAACAGCTTGCGATACAAAGAGGATGGTACCAAAGGTATCGAGAAGAAGTGGAGGCGACATGGTGTCGATGCCGGAGAATCCAGTTCGCTTCAGAATATCGCTCCACTCAGGAATGTTGATGAAGGGGGTGAGAGTTCGGCCTTCATCTACTCCTCTCCACCATCCAGAGAGAGGGCCAAAGATGAAACTGGCACCGGCTTGCATGGGTCCTTCGTTGCTTCCCTCGCCGATGAGAAGGAAGCCGCCGGGCTTGAGGAGCTTTCGCAGGTTTCGCATGGTCTCGTCGAGCTTGGCTGTGGCGTGAACTACAAGGTATGCGATGACCACGTCGTAAGAGCCTTCGACAAATCCTTGCTGGACAGGGTCATTCTCGGCATCGCAGACTTTGAAAATCATCTGGTTACCCCATTCTTCGAATGCCTCGGCCGCGTTCTCGAAAAAGCTGGACGAGATGTCTGTGAATGTGTAGCTGCCAAAACTGTGACCGATAGTTCGGAGGATGTTCTTGGTCGCACCACCAGTTCCGGCGCCTGTAGTCTGGTTGTCAGCTTCGTCACGTCATCAGGTTGAATAGATGGAGGCTTACCGATCTCAAGCAGGTTCAGATGCGGGCGCCGATCTGTGAGTTGCTTGACGATGCCGCTGAGCCACATCGATGACTGCATGGTGCCAAAGCCGTGTGCGTAATACTCATCCAATAGTCCCGATGCGCGGAAATGCTCAAGCATTGTGGTCTCTCCCCTGAAGACCTTGGGCATGGTTTCGCCCACAAGACGCATGATTTTGACAACAGAGTTGTCAGCGACGCTAAAGTTATTTCGTTAGCAACCTCACTGACAATTTGCGACTGATTTGCATACCCTTTGGATTCAATCTCGGCTACCACGTCCTCGCGCGTGTCGGTAAGCCACTCCTTCCGACCATATTTGTGGTCACCCTTCTTTAGAAGATCCGTCATGTGCCGAGCATAGTTGAGATAGTGACATGATGGACTCTCTGATCTAGCCGGAGAATCTTCTGGAACATCCTCATCGAACCGCCTAAGATAGAACGCAGCAATCCGGCTAAGAACCCATAGAAGATCCGTGTCTGCCTGGGTGACTGGGATGCCCTCGGCGGCAAGGTCTCCGTCTGGAACCGTCGGGACGAAATGAGTCTTGTAGAATACATTACGGTCGTCGCTAGCGGCCGATCTCACAGGCTTGAACTTGACCTGATCAAGCTGGACTGCAACATTTGGAGAACCATCGAAAGAAATGTCAAAATTGCCCGAGAATCCAGCCCCTGGCTGAGACCGATCTTCGCGGTTGCACGTCGAGTCAATGGCGACATTCTCCTGATGCTCTTGAGAGGCTAAGACTGCAGGGTTGACCCTGATTTTGCCGATGCTCGTGGGCATATGAAGGATTCGCAACTGTTCGTCCCCCGGGTAGCTGTAAGCAAGACTGACGGACTGTATGGCAGCATCCAGCTCGACCGGGTGGAGCAGCAACGCCTTCGAATCGGGAGTCGTTGCTCGTTTGGCGATGCAGCAAGCTCGCCCGAGCTTCCTTCTGAGTCCAATGAGGGAACGGAAAGGGCCACTGAAGTTGTACTCCAGGCTCTCCATGAAGTTGTAGAGACGGGTTGACTCGACATTGATCAAGTGCGGGGGCGTTGGCTTCCTCTGGGGCAGTAAACTCCCAGACGCCTCGCCCAAGAACACCTTCAGTTCTCCATCAGCTACCAACGAGAGTTCCTCGCCACCAAGAGCAGCGGAGTAGGTGAAGAAAGCACTGATAAAGTCTGGCTGGGATTTAGAAATCCGTGAAAGTTCAACGTGAACTTCGACGCCCGCATCATAGCTCTCAAATGGGAAACCCTGGCGAATGTAGAAATCCTCAAGCTCGATAAGCCGAATGCTCTGGTCACCGGCGAGAGATCTCGCTGCTTCAAGAGCAGTGCTCACGTATCCAGTGGCGGGAAACACGATTTGGCCTTGTACCTGGTGACCTTCAAGCCAGGGGATCTCACTTGGCTTCAAGATATTCTTCCAGCGCATGGTGTGCGGAGAGCTGTCGGGTGAAATGTCCCCCAGCAGAGGATGTAACGGCTCTTTGCGAAGGCGAATACGACGCGACCTTCGAGACTCATGCCAGTATTGAGTCTCATGCTTCCACTGATAGGTTGGAAGACCCTTTAGAACACTGAACTGGGGATTCCCTGCCAACATCGCAATCTCGCAACGTTGAAGGCTCACTGATCCTCCCAGCCGTGACCACAAGAAGCCCAGACACGTTGAGAAGGACTCGACGGCATCTTGACCGCGACCCAGAGATCCGTGATAAGGGATGGCTTGCTGCAAGGCGTCTTGGATGTTCTGTCCAGCGGGTCCCTTGAGAGCGGGATGGGGTCCGACTTCAAGCGCAACATCAAAAATGGCGTCTGAGCTTGCTGAGACTGCGGCTGTGATGGCTTGCGAGAAGAGAACCGGTTTTGTCATGTTCTGTGCCCAATAGACGTGACTCAAGTCGGCAGATAGCTCGACGGGTTCGCCATCATGGACACTAGAGTACCAAGTGCACTGCGATGACGATGGAGCCTGTGCCTTGACCCCGGCACGTCGCAGAGAATCCACATAAGGATCGAAGCATGGAGCCATGTGTCGCGAGTGGTATGCTTGGTCAACTCTGAGCCGTCGATTGAATTTCTTCTCGTCGCTCAGAATAAGCTCCAATTCCTCGATGGCGTCTTCGTCTCCTGAGATGGTAACGCTTGACACAGAATTGCTCGCGGCAACGGTAATGCGGCCGTCGAAATCCGGGTCCTCGCACAGCTCCAAGGCATCTTCCATCGAAGTGCCTACTGCGAGCATTGCTCCCTTGATGTTTCCATTCGGGCTTGCTGCATGCTTGCAGTGCAGTCCTCGGTAGTACGCGATATAGATGGCGTCGCGGGCACTGAGAAACCCGGCAGCATAGGCCGCAGCGATCTCGCCGCTGGAGTGACCTACCACAGCATCAAAATGGACATTTCCAGACCGGAGGAGGTCCACCAGCATGATCTGGACTGCAGTGCAAAGTGGCTGAGAGATCGCGGCTTCAACAAGTCGAGACGTCGTCGGGTCAGCGAGAAGCTCCTTCTCAAGCGACCAAGCCGGCTGGTCTTCGGCTGGAAGCTGGGCCAAATGCGTATCCAGCTCTTGAATGATTCGTCTGGCGTAAGGTGACTGTTCGATCAACGTAGCACCCATGCGAGCGTACTGGGCACCTTGACCAGTAAAGATACCGAGTACTTTCGATGATTTAGCATAGGGTCTTGCTAGCGTCTTGATTCCGAGGGGCGTCTCCTTCTCATCTAGCCGGGTCTGGATCTTAGTCCTGAGATTGGCGATTGAGGTTGCGGGAAAGGCAGTGCGATGGGGGAAAACGGAACGACGCTCCCTCAGTGTGTATGCCAAGTCATGGGGGTTAATGTCGGAATAGGTATCGAGATGATGAAGATACGCTGCTAGGTTGGCACGCAGTGCCTCTTCTGAAGCGGCGGAGAACGTGAAAGGGGTGAAGGGTCCACTGGCGGCGACAATCCCAGATCTTTCCGCCGGATGTTGATAGCTCTCAAGAATGGCATGGGCATTGGCGCCTCCAAAACCGAAGCTGTTGACACTCGTTCGCCTCGGTTGGGAGCTGGCCAATTGAGGCCACGACTGCGCGGTCTTGACAATTTTAAGGTTGTCATAGAATGGCGCGACTGAGGGGTTCAAGTTGTTGAACAAGAGGTTTGGCGGAATCGTAGAGTTTTGGAGCGCCAGTGTTGCCTTGAGGATGGCTGCTACGCCAGCAGTGCCCTCCGTGTGGCCGAGCACGGTTTTGATGGAGCCGACATATAACGGAGAGCTGGCTGAAGTTGTTTTTGCGGTGTCTGGGCTATCGGGGAAGAAGGCTGAACTGATAGCTTCGGCTTCGACAGGATCTATCATCTTTATTAGCAAAACTATCCGCCAGCAATGAACATTATGCACTTACCGCCAGCCGGAGTGCCAGTTCCGTGAGCTTCAAAATACTGAGGTCTGTCTCCGGGGACGGTAAGATCAAGCCCAGCCTTGGCGTAGGTTTTCTGAATCAAATCTCTCTGGGCAGTAGCACTCGGCATGGTCAAGCCAGCTGTTGCACCGTCCTGATTTAAGCCGGTCTCCCGAATGATGCCTTCGATGTGGTCATTATCTGCAAGCGCAGCACTTAGCGTTTTGAGAACGACGGCCGCTACGCCATCTCCACGGGCGTAGCCGTTAGCGTCCTTGTCCCACATCCGACCAAGACCATCAGGAGATAACATCTTGACCTTGCTCTCGACCACAAACATCTCGGGGCCAAGGATGAGATTCGAACCGCAAGCCACAGCCATGTGCGAGTCTCCTGACCTAAGTATTTGGACCGCATTGTGCACCGCAACTAAACTAGAGGAACATGCTGTGTCTGTCGTGACCGAAGCACCATGCCAGTCGAAGAAGTATGAGATGCGGTTAGAAAGCACCGCCCTCGAGGTTCCCACCGCAAAGTAGGTTGGTGCTTCATCCAGGTCGCGGAGTAGCATAGCTTCGTAATCTCCACACATAACACCAGCGTAAACAGCTGTGTCACTACCTCTCAAGCCCTCGATCGTCATACCACCAGACTCTATAGCTTCGTAGACGGTCTCAAGCAGCATTCGTTGCTGGGGATCCATAGCCCGAGCTTCGATAGGGTTGATACCGAAGAATTCTGCATCAAAGACTTTTGGGTCTTCCTCAAGAAGGTACGAGTGCATAACGTTAGACCGGCCATGGTGAGAGTTGTTTTCGTGGAAAAAGCCTTTAGCGCTAAACCTGCTCTCTGGGATTTCTCGGCGGGCATCGCGAGGGTTTCGGAGTAGCTCCCAGAGTTTCGAAGGAGAGCTTGCATCTCCAGCAAAGTGACAGGCACTGCCAACTATGGCGATTGGTTCGTTGGGTATCGTTTTGGAGTTCATTGTTGGTGCGTATCAACAGTCTTTCGGTGAACAGGAAGGTTTTGGTGCAAGTCCCGTCAAGCAGCGGGAAGTCTAACTCAAGAGGCAGAAGTGGTAACTCTATCCAAAGAGTTTGGACGAGACGATGGAGGGTATTGAGGTTCGGTCATACATCCAGCAATCCTAAATCGGAGATGGGCGCTGAACTGCCTGCTGCCGACCTATGATTTGCTAGTCGCTCCGGAGCTCTTCCGTGGTGCCAATGGATGGCAGTTGCCCGAAAGTCCCCGAGTTTCCGGTCTCCTTCGGCCGGCATGACGTTACTAGTGAAACATCTCGAATAGGAAACCGTCACCGATAATATTGAGTCGTCATGTGGTGACCAGCCAATGGACCGACCGATCGGTACGCCGTAACGCCACATATTAGAACTTATGTGTGGCTCTCCAGCTACTTTCAACATGAATTGGAAGCCTCAGCTGAGAATTGTCGCTACTCTTCCCGCATTGAAGATTGATCATTCCAACATGAAAGCTGGTCTTGTGACCATACTTTTAAACGACTTTATGATTCTGTCTTAATTGATGAGACATTATGGTGTGAAGAGGAACATAACGTAGTTATTCGACAATTTGAGTTGCGTGGCGGAACTATAGGAACACGAGCACAGCTTCCGTGCGCACAATTATCTGTATTCATGATCATTGACAAAACTTCGTGGCTATCTTCAGTCATACACCATTATCTCATGGTCTAATAGAAGTCGTGTACCTGCTCTTCAGTCCATTCCCAAAACCTTTTCGCGTGTCCATTGCCCCCTTCCTGTTCGGTCTTCGTTGCATCTTCTAAGTCTGGGCGGATTGGATACAAACGACCCCATGGGATTACTAGAAGTACGTCAGCATTGCAGTAAAGTTTCACATCTTCTCAGGGAACTTACCCCATTTTCCACTTTCCTTCATCGTGATGCTAGGCGACAGCCCGGAAAACAACTCTGTGTAAGCACCAAAGATAGGGGGCTGAAGAACCAAAGTCTTGATCAAGCTTTTGAACAGGAAACCTCCGTCCCGGTAAAGGTCAGAGTTGAGATGCCCAGGATTACAAGGCACGCTAACGATGCCATCCTCCTGGTGGCGTCTTGCAAACTCCACTCCATGCAGCCAGTTGCCAGCTTTGCTGATTCCATACCTTTCCAAAGCCATTAGGGACGGCCAGTAATTGAGGTAGTCCAGGGAAATTCCATGGGACCTCTCGCCGACAACTTCCGTTCCCATCGAAGAAACCCAGACTATGCGGACTGAGTTCGGCGGCTCGACCTTCGCCGTGGAGGCTAAAATGGGCGTCAAGAGCTTGGTGAAAAGGAACACCCCAAGGACGTTGACGCCGAGATGAAGCTCATGGCCTTGTGCAGTTTTGATCGAGCCGTCGCTGTTCTTGAGTGCTTGAACTGCGGCATTGTTGAAAAGCACGTGAAGCTTGCTCTCTTGGGAGGTAAACTTCTGAACGGCAGGCTTGATGGTGGAAAGGTCGGCGAGGTCAAAATACAAGAATACCAGATCACCTTTGCTCTCAGGCCATTTCTTCTTGATATCTTCTATGGCTTGTGTTGCTTTGACCTCAGATCGAGCAGCAACGTAGACTTTGGCATTCTTAGAGTAAAGGATCTGGGCGACCTCCTTGCCTACTCCAGTATTAGAGCCGGTGACAATGTAGACCTTTGAACCAATCAGCGAGCCATTCCATGTCGGCTAAAGTTGGTTATGCTGTTGGAAGCTACCTTGCCTGACAGATCCGGAATGTCTTTTTCAGTAAAACTTGGTTTCGGTGGCCATGTCTGAGTTATGATGCTGGAGAACGATAAAAAGGGAGGCAGAGGCGGACGGGCAGCGGGTTTATTCGTCGTCATGGCGATTGAACTGGGTCGTAGGAGATGGTCCTGTTAGTTTCTTTCAATCTCACCCCAAAATGAAACATATTCTATTGCAATTCAATAATCCAGGCGGTGATGCTGATGCTCGAGGAAAAGCAACCCAATTGGGAAACCGAGACCGACCGGCCTCGGGGCCGGGGTGCTTCGGTGGATCAAAACCTTAAAAACCAGGAGACGGGATGGGAGTCGGCTTTAGACCGATCGAAGTTCTCCGCCATGAATTCTGATTACCCTGGGCTCACTTTTGTGTGTGTAGTCATTCCATTGATCTACTCTTTTCAGATGCTTCTGCTTCTTTACTCGCGTCCTTTTCGTGTCATGAACCAAATTCGACAAGCTCCTTGGCCCAAGAAGCGGCAACTCTCGTCGGAGAACCAGTCCGCCAAACGTCTGATGTCCGGAACTTCCAAGCCACGAGTTGACCAATGCAACCCATTACCATGCCTACGCCGTGCAATGCCTGAAGAATTATGCTGGAGGAGCCTCCGCGACCAGCATCTCGCAACGCAATTTTGGGATTCACTGGGCCCCGGACACTTGCAACTGCAGGTGAGGGATCGAACATAGGTCCGTGAAAGGTTTCTCGACAATCTCGCACTCTATCCGCCGAACTTTGATGGAGGCTTACGAACGACCCTCGTTAACTAATCTCAATTCCAAGTCACATCATTAGGCTGTCGTGGTTATGTCAGTGGCTGTAGTGCTGTTTGGCATTATTTTGACTAAGGTACACTACACTCACGGGGTATGGCCCCCTGTATTCAAGGTACCATACGCGTGTGCGAGTCGTGCTGTCGACCCCTAAAGACGGCTTCGGGAGAACCTCGCCCTTTTTTGGCCGAAATTTCCGCCATGTTGGATTGCCAAGCCGGCCGCCCGCGCGGGCGGCCGTAGTTCAAATACGCAGTGAGAGCTTAATTGCTTCCATCCGGATTGTGGGGGATAGAGGAGAAGCATGTTTCTACTCTGTTTGGACGGGTATTTTATTCATCGATTGCGTGAGCCTCAGATAGCGTCTGATTTAGGCATAGAATGACCATGTCGTTGGTCCTTGAAGTGCTGCCGTGGCAGCAATCAAGCTCACGAGCATATGCAACATGGAATCTGGTGTAACCATCACGCTTTGTGTTTTTAAATGATTGTCATTCTCCCTTCCCTTTCGTCTGCTACGAGCTTACATGTAGTTGAAAATGAGAAAGGGAGACGGCAGGTGTTGCTGGTTTCTCTGCCTGCCACATGGTCTGATTGCCACAATGGCTCTGAACCTTGGTAAGGACCAGTCTTCATTGCAGGTTCGTCGAATAACTACGGCCCCTGTCACAATTAGAAAGCATGTTTCTACCAAGGAAACGACCAAGTGCCGGGCCCGCAGGTTCGGGTGTGCCGCCACCGCGGAACGATGCCAAGACATCGCTGAACTTTGTTTTATGGCGTTCCCAGCATAGGACGAATCCGATTCGTAAGACATCTAGAGGGCCCATATGAGGCTTCATGGCCTTGATCAGACGTTCGTTGGAAAAGGAGGCGTCCCCTTTTGACAACAAGTGTATATATCGTCGCGCCAACCGGCTGCAATAGAGGATCAGACGACACCTCTATCCGATTTCGACAGCTTGAGCTTTGAACTCTTCAGACACTCGTTTCCCCAGTTTTGGCTACCTATACATAGCCATTTCATCAATCATTAAATCTGAAGGCTTGGTAATACCGACTTAGCAGGAAACAACATCTCTCGCAATGTACTTCAAAAACACATTGGCTCTCGCCGCGCTGTCGGCCTTGGCCTCAGCCACGTACACCACGGAGTATCTCACCGGCTCCTCGAACAATACCATCCAGGTTCTCGTCGAAGGAAAGGGCCCATCATTGCTTGTATGGCCGTCATACGCTCGTGACAGTATCGAAGACTTCCATGAGTTCTCCACCGCACTTGCTGAAGCCGGCTACCGAGTCCTCCGCCCTCAACCACGAGGCATGGGCGAGTCCACCGGCCCTATCAAGACGAACTGGGATGAGCTCGGCGCCGATGTTGCTTCAGTCATCGACACCTTCGGCAACGGAAAGGCCGTAGTTCTTGGTCACGCCGCTGGCCAGAGGGTCACGAAGCACATGGCCGCTACCTTTCCGGAGAAGGTGCCCGCGATCGTACTGGCATGCATCAACACCGGAATCAACACCAACGCCACGATCGCTGCCACGGCGACGATCGCCAGCAACTACAGCAACCCTGTTGAGGAAAGACTTGCAGCACTGGAACTGGGCTACTTTGCCCCTGGCCACAACGCGTCAGTCTGGTTGTCGGGATGGTTCCCCGAAGCCGTCGGCTCTATCTCAGGCACTGGCGTCAGCACCCTTGGAGGAAACAACACACAGATCCTGGATGTCATTGCAAAGTTAGACCCGTGGAGAGCGGAAGACCAATGGAACTACACCACTGGGCTGGCGGGTGATCGTTCTACAGTGGTATTCGTCGAGGACGCATCACACGCGTTGTTCCCTGAAAACCTGCAGGGACTCCTTGATGTTCTGCTTCCGTGGTTGAAGACTCAAACATCTGGATGGCTGTAGACACTTTGATCTTGACCTAGGGTAATCCCTTTATATGGATTTGAGGCATCGCCGTTCGTCCTGTTCCCAAATCAACTAAGATGAGTCGAGTTGTCGCCCACCAATGCAATGGGCAGTCGTCCTTGAATGAATACTGGAATTCAAACATTCTCTGTGTTATGTACGTTGAACCGGTCATGCCCCGCCTTCTGTCCACCAGCCGCTATTGGAGGACCCCGTGACTCCACGTTCATCGACGGTCCCCTGGATCTAGCCATCTCCGGCATGGTCTCAAAGTCCAGATTATGCCCTTCCAACTCCTCTGTGAAGCTACGGTTAAGTTCCGTTGTCAGAGTAGTAGAGTCATCCTTCTGATTCTCGGCAAACGGACTGATCAGCTGCCTGACGTATCGGTCCATTTCTCCAAGTCGCCCAGGATGTCGAAGTCCGGCCTCCGTCGTCTCGTCTTCCGTAGTAATTCGTGCCATCCCACCGTGATAATCTCTCGGGCTGATTCGACCCAATTCCAATTGATTCGAAAAGTCCCTTGACGTACTCTCAACCTTGACCTCGCGCGTAACGTAAATAAAGTTGTTCCATGTCTTGGTGACGACGGGCCAAAAGACTGGGATTGACGCCAACGCCAGTGACAACCGATTCTCGGTTTCTCCCAATAGTATGATCGTCGGGAAGGATTTCGTCGGGTCGGACTCTCGGTCTGATGTTGATCTGTTGGCAACGATGCGTCCTCCTGCTATAACATTGATTCTAGGTGCCCTATTAGTACCCGCGTCCTGTTCAACACCAGTGGCGGCAGTCAGTCGGATTCTTGGCATGCGCTTACAATGCCCCGATGAACAATAACCCCATCAGCCCCAGTTTTGTCCGTCGAATAGTATCGTCGCTAAACAAGAGAGGGATAGGCAGGACAAGAATGATAAAGTCCAAAGCCATATTCGTCGCATTAGATGACACGACTACGTTGTAAACTTCCATCGAGTTGGTGGAGCCGTATCCGTAACAGTTCGATTCTGAGCCTAGGCGATAGAACTGCTGGACTGGGAAGCATGGGAACCATGCCATGAAGGAGAAAGCGAAGCCCCAGATCGAGACGATGACAATCAGCACCGTTGTTGCAACTCTAAGATTTCGCATGCGGTCTTTGAATAATCGGAGGTACTGTAATAGGATCGACAGTTTAACCAGGGCGTTTGAGGTGGAAAATGACGCGTTGGACATGTAAAATAACTGCTCCAAGTGTGAGCCCTAAGTCGTTCTATTGCGCCTGCATGGCAACCAATGGGCACCGCTCACGAGAAAAAACATCTCTCTGTCGCTATCAGGGACTTCTTTGAAAGGATGCCCCATGCCATAGTTGGTTCCTGTTGCTTTGTTAGTCACGAGTACTGCTGAAGGGCACAAACATCGCATCCAATACCGAGAGCAAGTCCTATCGCGCTGGCTGAACCGGCAAGCTATGTAGTTGTCAGCACCCATCATTGCCATGATAGAATAGAAGTAGTACTAATGCTAGCAAGACGACGGCATCATCCCAACCAGGTGCTCGTACGATCCGCACTCTCACAAATATTCTGAGGCCGACGCAAAACCAAGCCACAACCTATAGTTGACTGTCAGCAACAAGCCACAACATCATGCTTTGCGAACATTCATACCAATCCAGACGCAATCACGCCTACGATTGTGCTTTTGCGATTTTCAAACGGCAAACCCTCATTGGTGTAATGAGAGGGGAATTCGCCAGCACGGGTGAGGTTCCCGTACATCGTCGTGAGAGGGAAAACCCGACGACTAAACTGGACTCACGACCACAACAAGCAACCGCAGGGGATTCGTCCATTGTCGCATGGCAGATTTTCTATCATGAAATGGAGGGGTAGTTGTCGAGTGAACATACCCCCCAAGAATCCGGGGGGGGGCATTGCGCACGTGATTCACAGCTTCTTCTGACTGTTTCATCCTCGTCAGGAACTCGTACTTTCATTCGATGTGTAGACAACTACCGGGCGCACACGTCCGCATGCCAATGACTCGGTTCCTCTACATTGTGACAAATTCACCAGCTCATCCACGCGACTCAAAAGCTTATTTTGTCGTTACACCACAAACATTGGTCTGTCGTTCCAAGGTAGCAAACCTACAACACGTGGCGCGGGGGACATAACCCAATTTAGGGATCAGAAAATGCGTATCAGTGGTTAAGAAATTGTTCGGGAACCTCGTGGGAGTGGGATGCCGATGGGCAGACTTTGGGATGAGTGGGATTAGTCCGAACGGGATCTGCACCGGAGACATCTTCCGTTTATTTCGCTGCGGAGCGACTTCGCGACTCCGCACCCGGCATGTATACCCCTGATAACAGGCATTGCACAGAGCATTTGTTCCCAGAAGAAGGCTGAAGGGATTAATGCCTCCGTGGCGATCATGGGACTGTGGGATTCCTAGCCTAAGTAAAACTCGCGGAAGAGCCAGGAAGAATCCGACGGCTTCGGAGCCGTCGGATACCGCCCCTCACTTCGTAGGAACAGGTTTGCCTGACTTTGACTTTGGACCAAAGTCTATTTGGTCTCCCATTACTTCTCGCTGGGAAATATCAAGCCTGTGATCGCCTGTCAGAGACGAATGCACCCCTCTCCGACACCACTTACCCCCTCCATAAAAACACGTGGTACGCCGGCCCCCTGCTGAGGTTAGTTCTTGGACTAGTCTTTCACGGTACCTTTGTGGTTCCCGATGCCTCTCGAGGTACTCCGCATCTTTAACTGAAGGGCTGAGCGAGATGTTAGCCAGCATGAAAGTTCACAAGACGGAAGCTTGTACAACCATATGCGTGGGTGACGGACGAGCTTGGCCAGTTGTAGACACCAACTCGTCTGTTGTCCGCTTTTGTTGTGTTCCCTACTCCATGTCATCTACGCTATCCCATCGACTGCTATATGATGCCAGTACATAGAGTATCCGTAATTTCTCTAAGTCTGATCTTATGGTAATTTCCTATTTGCTCAAGAAAAGTATCGATCACTAGGGACAACACTTGATTACATATACCCCGTATCCCATCGACTGCTAGATGGCGTCAGTGCATATATTCTCAAGCTTTCTCCGAATTATGTCCCCTTCGCAGGTTTTGGTTCGGGGAAATCAACGGTCATAGTTCGGAATAACGTCCAGTTAGCTAGTTCCCCGCACGCCGTTGTGCTGGTGCCACCTAGCAGTCGATGGGATACTAGTGTACTGGCTTCATGCAAGTCAATCGGATAGCGATTTTCCAAACGAATGCAGGGTACGCGGACACCTCCGTAACTCGTCTGTTGTCTTGCAAGCATGAAGGCGCGCGGACTACTCCAGTCCAGTCAGCTCGCCTCGGGTTTCGAATGAGGCTAACTCCGGATGACACAGGGCAAACAGCATAGAGGGTTTCATGATTAAGTAAGGCTGTCACGAATACATTCTATCCAGTCTATCAACCTATGAAGATGCAGCAGAACCCGAATACTTCGGCTTCAAGTACATATACAGTCCGCCCTTCTCCCACATGAGATACGACCGTTGCTTGTCCATCCAACCTCGGCTCTGCTGCGTAGCCTCAACATCGAAATTCCACAAAACACGTGCCAGGATGAAACGCATCTCAGCGTTAGCGAGGCTAACCATTCTGTCAGCAGGTGTCCCATACCCGAAAAGGTTGGATGATACTCACTTCAACCCAATGCAGTTGCGAGGGCCGTATGAGAACGGGTGGAACCCTTCGCGCCGGTCGGTGGAGAACTCGGAAGTCTTGCTGTCGGCGAGCCATCGCTCGGGGAGGAACTCGTCGGCACGCTTGAAGTTGGCTTCGCTGCGGTACATGACGCGATGCGGGATGCCCACAATTGTCTACGATAGTTGTCAGCAGAAAGCCTTACCTCAGATTTACACATTGTGTCAACTCACGTTTCCCGGAATAAAGTCACCAAGAATCCAGTTTCCCTCGGGAGGCGTCGTCCGCCACAAAGCATTCGGGCCGGGAGGGTGGTACCGGAACGTCTCGTCGATGACGGCAGCCAGGTAACGTAGCTGCATGGCGCTGCGCATGTTAATCTCATCTTCGCTCTTGAACGCGTCTTGAAGTTCCTTCATGAGCTTGGCCTTGACTTCCGGGTACGACGCAAGCATGTACATGATTCCCGAGAGAGCGCTTGCTGTCGTCTCCGCACCTGCGAGGGTTAAGGTGACAGCGTTGCTGTAAATCTCTTCCTGTGACATTTTCTACGAAAGGATTAGCACGTCTACAGAAGGATAAGGTTGTCGAAAAGGAGCCTAATCCTACCAAGCCGTCCTTTTGCGTAAGCATGACCTGCACCAAGTCAGGCCTCTCCACATTGAGCGCGAGCCTCCGATCGACCGTCTCCCTCAAGACCTTACGGTGCTGCGCATACTCCCTCACCAACTTGATCGTCGCCAACACAGGGGCAAAGAAGAAGAAGAACGGGATACGCGTGCACAGCAAAATAATGTATGTCAACTTGATGTTGCTCAGCACAAACGAGATCCAAGGGTGCATCATCGACTCCCGCAGACACCCAAACGGCTCGCCAAACGCCAAGTCGCCCGTGACGTCGAACAGGCAGTACACGAACCACTGCCACAGATCGATCGCAGCCTTGCCATCCTCAGCCCGTTCTTTCAAACGCAGGATCAGCAGGTCGACGTATCCCGCAATGGCCGGCTCCTGCTCCAGCATGGCGTTGGTGGTGAAGCCGTTGCTCAGGATCTTGCGCATGCGCCCGTGGTCGCCCGTCGCGGCGCCGAGGATGTCGTTGGCGTCTTTGCTGAGGTACCACGAGGGTTTCTGGTTTTCCTTGCGCTTTCCGGCGCGGTAGCGGCCGTAGACGTCGTCCCACGCTTCGGGGATCGCGTAGGAGAGCTCGTTGGGCCCGACGCGGACGATGGGGCCGTACTTTGTGTGGATGTCCATCAGGCTGTTGTGCATGTTGCCGGCCATGAAGGAGAAGCCCCACGGGAGGACGGAAGCTGCCCAGAGTTTCGGGCCTGGGTATTTGCGGAGAGGGTGGAAGTAGACATTGTAGATAGGTCGGAGGATCACAAGGTAGACGAGAGTCTGCCTCATGTGTCAGCGCATTTGCTTGCGTCTGTCGTGGTAGGATGGCTCACTAATCCGGCGACAACAGCGCCCAGCATGGGCCATGAGAGCCCGAGTGTGACTTCAGCCAGCATTCTTGCGGCTTCTCGTCGCAGTTCCGTCTCCAAAAGACTTCAGATGAGAGCAAAGTTGAAGGCTGGACAGTGACAGAAACTTTGCCGAATGATGACTTGCATGAAGGTTCAAGCCGATCCAGAGTGCTGGGAGGGAGCGACTTCCAGAAAATGGTAGGAAATTCGGTCTGCTAACCACAACACCAGTCTTTGCAACACACGCCAGAAGCCAAGTAGTCCATCCGAACCTTAAGCTTCGCACATCGCATTCTCCAGATACCCGTCTCCGGCTACTGCGTGGGATGATGTCCGGCCCCGAGTCGCAAGCCGTCATTCGGAGGCGGGGTTCGGTGCCGGTTTCCTAATTCGGAAACCACCGCAAGTCTGGGGAGCAGGGATCTCTCGCCTTACTCGATGTTGCAACGTTCTCTATCGTTCGAGATTGATTTCAGCCAGCAGGTTATATGGTTAGATGGGCATTTTGGCAATTTGAATCCGAGGCCTAGAACTCACCCATAACGAAAACGTCCTCCGCAGCAAGATGGCACTACCAAAGACTCAGACCGCAGTGATCCAGTCGCAATCAGCGTCCAGAGAGTCCGGGCTCCGTCTAGCCGTTAGCACCTCCAAGCCCATCCCAGAACTACCAACGCCATACCATGTTCTCGTCCGCGTCCTCGCCGTGGGCCTCAACCCCACAGACTACAAGATGGTCACCCACTTCTTCATGGAAGGCAACACAATAGGGTGCGACTTTAGCGGGATCGTCGAAGTCGCAGGTTCATCGTCCATTGTGCCCACCGGTGTACGAGTATGCGGCGCCGACTTCCCTTACCGACCTGAAAACTCATCAAACGGCGCCTTTGCACAATACGTTGTCGCCGACTCGCGACACACGATCAGAGTGCCGGACGGGTGGAGCGATACGCAGGCGGCGGCATTAGGGTCCATCGGATGGTGTACGGCATGTCTGGCCATCTCAGACCCAGAAGCGCTGAATCTGAAGGGACTGCCGTCGCGTCCCGCAGAGAAGCCGAGTCCTGTGTTGGTTTACGGCGGTGCCACGGCGACGGGCATCATGGCTATACAAATGCTGAAGCAGTAGGTTAAGATCAGTCCCTTGCAGATAGGCAGAAGCTCACCTCAGACAGATCGGGCTATGCACCAATCGCTGTTTGTTCCGATAAATCAGCACCACTCGTCAAGAAGTACGGTGCCATCGGCACAGCATCGTACACCTCACAAGACTGCACCAAATCAATCCAGACCCTTGCTGGTGGGATGCCAATTAAGCACGCCCTTGATTGCATCACGGATGCAGAGTCTGCCGCTATTTGTTACAGCGTGCTGGCCAGGGTCGGATCGAGATACGCATGTCTTGAAGATTGCCCCGAACAATGGCGGACCAGGCGCGCTGTCAAGTCGAAGGCGGTCATGGGATTTGAGGCACTTGGGTACGATGTTGACTTGGGCCATCCGACATACTCGCGGAAGGCGAACTTTGAACTCCACGATGTTGCTGCGCGGTGGGCTCGAGAAGTGCAGTCGTTGTTGGAAAGCAAGCAGCTAGAGACGCAGCCCATCAAAGAGGTGAGTGGTGGTTTCGAGGGGGTCATCAAAGCGCTGGAAATGTTGCAAAGTGGCGAGGTCAAGGGCGAGAAGCTCGTGGTCCAAGTATCAAGTTAGAACACCGCATGAAGAAACTCTGTCTATCATCGTGCGTCAGAATCACCTATCACTCGCATGGAGAGAGCGTGGGGAGAGGGCAAGCCTTTGAAATGGAGTTGATTATGACTACCTGTGCCAACGTGTCCACGTGTGCACATCTAAAAAGGCTCTGCGTCTTCCGACGGGGGGGGGGGGGGGGACATTGTCGAAAGACATAGTGCGGTAAACGTCCCACCAATATTATATGCTCACGTCCTGACATCCATGCATGATCCCTCAAGGGTGGGAATCCTGCGAGCCGGGCTCCTGAGAGTCAGGGATCTCGTCCTTCTTGTTGGCGATCTCATCCTTCTTCTTGGCGACCTCGTCCATCTTCTTGACGATCTCATCCTTCTTCTTGGTGATTTCGTCCATCTGCTTGATGATTTCGGCCTTCTTCTTGGTGATTTCCGTAGCATCGAGGATAGTGGCATCGTCTTTCTTCTCGGAAGCGTCGGTGACCTTCGGAGGAGAAGTGTCTGACGTGGCAGGAGAAGCGTCGGACTTGGCAGGAACAGCTTCGTCTTGAGAGGGAGTAGCACCCTCCTTCTGCTCAGAGACGTCAGAGTCCTTGGCAGGGGCATCCTCCTTCTTGTCGGTCGAGCCATTCTGATCGGCCTTGACGGCGGTCTCCTTCTTGCCTTCGATGGAAGCGTCCTCGCGTTGATGAGCAGCTTCGTTCTTGTCCGCGATGGACTGGAAAGTAGCAGCGGCCGAGCCGGCGGGAGGGCGATGGCCAAGAAGGCGAGCCTATTGGAGCCAACGTCAGTAGGTCCCAGACGACAAGTTCGGGGATGCAAACATACTTCAGCAGTCTGAAGCTCCTTAGCATCGTCTTTCGTGATGTCCGACTCGGGCTTGCTCTTGAGATCGGCCTCCATCTTCAGGAATGTCTGCTGCTTGTCGTGCATGCTTTGAGCAGTGGCTGGGATTAGACGTCAGCAAGAAACTAGAAAAGGCAATTAGCAACAAAAGGGAGGCATCTTACCAGCAAGACCATTCTTGACGGTTTGATCATTGCCGGTCAAGGCCTTCTCGGCCTTGTCGATGTCGGCAACCTCCTTGGCCGTGATGATGTGACCGTTCTCGGCGAGGTTCTTGATGGTCTCCTTGTCGGTGGCAGCCATGATGCGCAATTTGCTGGGTCTCAGGGATCGTTTGTGTGGGAGAATAGTGGAAGAAGTGATGGCAATGAGTCAAGTTCGATGTTGATTGAGGTTGGGTGATGTTGGAAGTGGGAGGTTTGAGGACGTGGCCGGTGGGAGGAAAGGTTGAAATAAATACCGAGAGCAGGCTCTTGCCTGCCTCCTTCTCCGTTTGTTCGTTCGTTCTTGCACTTTCTGCCTTGATGCTTCCATCACGGGAAGGTGCATACTGTCAAAAGCAGTCGCCGACCCACCTCCTGCTGCTTGGAACAAGAAAATCCGTCCCTGGAGGTTGAAAGAAAGTAGGAGCTTCTCTTGAATGAGCAGGCACCAATCTAGATATTCTAGTCTGACGACCAAGTGCAATTTGGGAAGTACGAAACTCCAATGTCATTGCTACCTGCCGTAGACACAATAATGCCATTGGGGATCTCGAGGGCGGAAACCTCGATGCCCACCCCGCCACCAAAGCTGCTTATTCATACAGACAGTCCCAAGATGTCATGGGCTCAACGTATCTACTAATTTTGGCGACGGGAAAAGTCACAGAATAATCGCTCAGTTGTCTATGATGATTCCGCTGAATAGAAAACTTATTTTTGCTCCTGGTTAAAAGCACCTAAAGCTCGCAGAATCCGACATGTATGCTTCCAAATTGGAAAATGCCTTCCTGTTGCTTCCGATGAGAAGGTAATCTGCACCGTCTCTAACGGAGGTAATAGTAATAACCCCTCCCCACTGTCGGAGCCTCTCGTCACTGCAACGATATCGGCAGTGCTTCCATAGTGAGTATCAGTCCTTCCGGCGGCCCGTGATATGTATGGCTTTCCTTTTCCGTAGCTGACCCATCGCTGAGATTCCATCGTCTCCTGGCCATCCAGCTGCACCATTGGCTCTTCCTGTTCAGGTTGCGCTTCGCGGTCTGTCATCGGCAGCTGATGCGTCTGATACAACCCGTAGACCCACAAACTCAACAAGGCCTGGTAACATGCAAACGCGTGAAAATCTGCTCTGTCCTTTGGTGCAATACGTCTCGCGGCACCCAGAATTTGCCCGGCGTACCATGCAGCACGCCTAGCTTGTTGGGTTCTTGTCCAGCCTTTCAACCGCTCGAACGCCTCGCGAGAGGACCAGTGGTTCTCGTTACCTAGTAGGGCATCTATCATCGGCGTGGGCGCCGCGGTGCAGAACTCGTTGTATTCCAAGAAGAACATTGTCAGGGCATGACATTTGACCACCCCCGATTTAAGGAGAAATCGGGTATCATCTAGAAGCCTCAAAGCTGGTGCGGTGACCCCCCATGAATCCGGGGCACGGGATGGCCAGTCCGCTTCGCTCATGGCGTCTACGGTAAGATAGCGTGTGCGGGCTTCCACCAGGATTGGTGTTAGAGAACATGAAACAACCAAGACCGCAAAGTTGAAGTCAACTGATGGCGCCAAGGTCTGGAGAACAGAAATTTCAGCTAGACATCTTGACAGGCTGAGGCCTCTCTGGTTTTCCAAATCGTCTTTAAGAAACTCGTGGTATGTAATGCTCCATTTCGCGGCAGAATCTGCGAGCCAGAGCTTGGAGTCATCCGGGAGAGGAGCTGTCATGTCGTAGCTGGGTAATGGAGAGGGTGTATTTCTGAAGGCACTCCGTTGTACACATTGTAGGTAGAAGCGGTAGACGGTCCTATTACAAGTCAGCTCTGAAATAAGACGAATGCTTGTGATCGAGAAAGATGCGGGTCACAGTAAGGATATTGAGTCACCTCTTGAAGGATTCTTGGTTCGCCCACTCAATCCATGAAAGCCGTAGTTCTTCTTCGTCCCGGTTCACAGGTGGCGTGACAGACCTGTAAGATACGCGAAATAATCGTTTGCTATGGCGTAGTATCTAGATGTTGTTTCATTAGCCACCTCAGCTGAAGAGCAGCCCATCATCGACATGTTCTTTTTCGTACCGACGCAAGAATAGCAGAAGTAGCGTCTGACATCTCAGTCTTTCGCTGGTCTCCAGTCCAGAGAGCGCATTCACACACCAACGTCATGGCCTGGATGAATGACAGGCTGCGAGTCATTGCGTTGTCTCGGTCGCCCTAAGGCATCGTCAGAATTTAAGAGCGAAGAGGTTCTCGGACCAACTCACAGAATCCATCAGAACCATCCTTACTACATCCATCAACGCAAATCCAAATTCATTTGCCAAAGGATGTGTTGAAAAGGCAGCGCCAGCCGAAATCATGGCGGCGAGGAGCAGAGGGTCGCATTCAGCGACATTGAAGGTGGGAAGATGAATCATTCCAACAATGTCGTCCTGCTGTCTGGAAAGAAATATCTGGAGCATCTCTCCGAGAATTGCTGCTGACGGGAACGAAGTTGCTGCCGCCAGACTGGGGGGATTTGCGGAATGCTTCTGAACCAGATACACAATCTGGTCACGTTTCTCCGCGGTCAGATGATGACTTAGTAACGACAAATCAAGTTCCCCCATCTGACCAACCATAGACGCCTGTTCCGTGACCGATATGAAAAGACTCTCGGTTCTGGAAGAGGCTCCCTGCGCCGGCTTCCAGTTACCCAGCGTGTTGTCGTAGACTTTGCTCGCCTCATCAGAGACCACGCTCTGGTCACTAGATTCAATGAGCAACGATGGCCGCGTTTCTGTTTGTAGGTTTACCTGTGAACTCGGGGCCAGCATAGGCGCAAGCGAGGACAGCATGGATGAATCGATCCCAAAGACATCGGGCGCTCCAAATGAGGACAGGAAGTCATTGAATAGGAACGAGTCGTCCGCCCATGATCCCTGCCCGATGTCTAACTCCAAAGAAGCTTTTTCAGCCACGACGGTCGTGGCTGGCGAAACGGTTCTCGAAGGGACGAGAGGAGAGTCGTCATCCTGTGCAAGCTCACGCCGATCATCGGCAACGCAAAATGGCCCAACGCTTCTGATGCACTCAATGCCTTTTCGTAGACACCTTCGGCAACTCCTTTGATCGTCGCATCTGACTTTAGATGTTGCGCAAGAATCACATGCCTGTGATGCCCGGGGTGGTCGGCGGGATAGTTGCCTTCTCTTAGCAGACGGGCGACCATCACCGTCAACCAGGTCCTTCCCAGGCAGGATTCGCTTTCGACCTTCCATCATAAAGACGCTTATTGTCATTTCTGATATGGTCTTGATTTCTGGCTAGATAGAGCCTGGGTGAGTTGGTTGTTTGTCGTGCTTGAAGACCACCGTTGGGTCTGAAGGGCCATTGGTTGGTGGTTGGCGTCCGTGGAGATTGATTCACAATACCAAGTTGCCTTAGCAATAAACTAAACTGGGATATGTATACCGAAACGCAAAACGCGTCCTCCGGGACAAAATAGATAGTTAACTTTCACACTTTGAGGCAAAAAGGGGCTGAATCGGACGGACATGGAAATCGAAGCTGCGGCCCGCTCCTCGTCGATCACTGGCGATGATGTGGGGAACGGCCCCTCACCAGCGTCTTGTAAGCGGCTTCGCGGACAGCAACCAAGCCCGAGAACACGCTCATGTTTTTGTGGTTTCCACAAGCGTGCCTCTCTGTCTCACACTAGATCGCCATCCTATTAAAGGCCTTGTGTAGGCTTGGTTCCACTATCCTTGATTCTAAGCAACAATGCATACAAGAAGACCTACTACGAAAATCCATGATTCCCGAATTGATAGTTGCTGAAAAGCTGACGCCCTATCCACCCTGCGCAAAGTGGTGCCTGGTTTTGGATCAAGCGTTTTCTAAATAGCTGCTCCGCGGCACTCTCTTTCGATGAGTCGCCGATGGGGCTCACTTCGGACGTTGATCTTTACCTGGAACGACGGACCATGCTTCGTCACCTTGGGTGACTGCGAGGTGTCTATCGTCGCGCCAGGTACTGGCAGAACGTCGAAACAGTAGACAAGTCTAGCCAATGAGATGTGCAAATTGGAGATGGCTACATTATACCCAACACAAAGTCGTCTCCCTGCATGACAATTAAGATTTAGCCAAGACGGAGCCGATGGACTTTGCCAAGATGAAAATGGCTTCTTACCTGCGCCGAATCCGAGATGTCCCTTGGCGGGCTTGTCAAGATCTTCGTTGATGAATCGTTCTGGCCAAAATCTCTCCGGCTGCTCGTACTCATCCGTGGAATTGACAATCGCCCATTGATTATACGTCACGATCGTTCCCGCTGGAATTTTGTATCCTTCGAATTCGTCGTCTCGCATCAACGCATGCGGGATTCCCGTCTCAGCAATCGTCGGCCTGGCATCGAGACCCGTCAGCGATAATTCGTGCATTTCCCACGATCCACATAAGGCGGCTTCCGGGAGCACGAGTCTTACTTCCATCGAACACTCTCCTTCACTGCGCCCTTGATGATTGGCAAGTTCGGCATGTCCTGTGCGGTCGGCAATCGCTCGGCGTGAGCACCGCATACTTCATCAAGCTGCTTCCGAGCACGCTCAATCCAATCGGGCCACAACGCGGCGGCAGCCACACATTGGTCCAAGGATGCGCGAGTGGTGTCCGTGCCGGCTTCCATGAGGGCGCCTGCCATGAACAGGAACTCGTCCTCAGTGAAGTCCGAATCGTGCTGTTTCTCAAGGAATTCCGTCATGAAGCAGTCCCGCTGTTTGCCCTGTGCTCGCCGTTCGCGAAGTTGATCCAGCTCTCGCTTGTATACCCTGTACGTTGATGAGTGATTGTGAATTGGCGAGTCTGGATGGGAGTCTCACGCGCGAGTACGCTTATACAAGTCGTCGCCATACCATCGCCACGGCTGCAGAGCTTTGAACCATGGGATGTCGGCGAGGAAAGGAAAATGGTCGACGATCCCGCGACCGGGCATGAGATACTCGACAAACTCTTCGGACACGGCAAGAGAGTCGCTCAAGTTGGCATCGTCAACGCCTGCTCGACGTCCAAAAACAACGCTCATAATGACCGAGCCGGAAAAGGCCCCGTGGCTCTTCCACCATTCATCCGGACGTTCGAGGTAGTTGAGGAGCAAAGCCTTAGACTCTAGGTCTTGGAACGGCTCGAAGATATTGCGCTGTGTAGCATTCAGAATTTGATGCATGACCTTGCGCTCTCGACGCCACAAGTCTCCGTAGGGCATTAGCAGGGTTCGTTTGCCGCGGGATACGAGGTCGTAAGCCATTGGGAGATTCATTCTTGAGGAGTAGATGGCTGCCCTCTTGTCCAGGAGCTCGTTGACAGTTCGTGTGGAGTTGAGAAATAGCCAGTTCGTCCCTCCGATGTTGATTGTGAACCTACATTTAGGGTCCATGGTCAGTGGCAACTTCTTGTAAGTGCTTGTTCAACGATACTGATCGCTCAGTAGTCGCACTTGAGCTTCTTACATTTCGCCATACTTCTTCGCCAAGTCTTGGAAGAATAGGTATGGAAGGTCTCGTGGGATTTGATGGGCATTCCCAATGAGTGGTAATCCGGGAACCGGGTTGGGCAAACGGTATCGCTTCTTGAACTGTATCACCTTCACGAACTTTCGAACCAGCCATGCGAGGAGAAGAATGAAGACGAAGGTTCCAACCGCTTGGCTCGGCAGTATTGTTTTGGGAGAGAGGAGCCTCATTTTTGCGTGGCGTTACCAAAAACAAATGGGCGTAAGGGAGGTTGACAAGAATGGACGATGTGATTTTTAAGAGAGAGAGAAGCTATTGCGTGACTTGAACAAATTCGTTGCTCGCAGGACCGGAACTAGCTAGTTTTTGAGAAGCACAAGCATTTCGCCTCCCGGCATGGAAAGGTGATGATCAATACTCGCCAGTATCATTGTGCAGAAGCTCCCCGACACCCTGAAAATCATCGGGGCATGCCGACGCCTCTTGTCTGTGGAAGTATGTTCATCAATTACCAGACTTGAGGTGCTGCTGGTGGATCGGGGAGTCAACACTCCCCGAGGTGGAGGCTCGGCATGCCGAGAACCACTGATTGGCTCAACGGCTGAGCCTCTCCTTTGGACACCATGGCACGTTGAAACGGTTTCATTAACTCTATGATCTTGATGTATGTTCTGAAATGTCCAAAAGTAAGGCCTTTGGGAAAGAGGAAGGGGAACACTCTTTTCCGAGGGCACCAAGTGCCGAGTCGGTGTGGTTTCTGAAAAGACCTGGACCAACCATGACTTCTCGGAAATAGAGACAGGACCGATACAGTGCTTGCGGTGATGTCTGCAGAATCTAGCCAGCGTTGAGGAGAAGAGCATATATGGAAACAGCACGCTCTATTCTTCTGACGAGTGCCTCGTCTACTTTAATTGCAAATTTGAGGGCCGTCAGTTGAACTAAGGACATGAAGTGATGTTTTAGGTGAAGGTTGGGATCAGCAGGGTGAGCAGGCCTTAAGATTTTGTCCCCAGCTTAGATTGCTCATAGTATCAGGCTAGATCATTCATATAACTCATGCAGGTTTGTCTTGCTTACGCACCTCGGACTCGAGCCAAGACTGCATCCACCCTGACCAACCTGTGTAAGCCTCAGCCTCCCAACAAGCCGTCCTGTAGATCCTTCCCCCGCTAATGCCAGCGACTAAATTTAGACCCCAATCCTGATCGCACTTCATTTACCGGGCACTCTCGCTGAGCCCCGTACATGCCTTTAGCTTCCTGTCCCACACGTGCACAACCGGGTTCAGCTGCGAGTCGTCGGATTCTCGTGCGGTTCATCTGGAGCTTCTGCGAGGCGGAGTCAAGTAACATTGACGGACGCCTATGTTTATGCTTATTTGACTGAGAGTTTAGTTTAGTCTTGAATGCTGCGGAACCCTTGGCGGGCTTGTCATGGGTCGAGGCTGTTCAAGCCCTGCTGAAAGCTGTCAGTGCTAAGCCTGGGCCCGGAGCTGAGGCCGATCGTGAGATTTTGATGCCAACAGAAGCCTTGCGCCAGCCCCGCTGGGTACAGCAGTCCCGGGGCTAGCATGAATGTCTCGGCCATTTTCATGTCAATGCCCAGTAGACATAAAGTGGTAGCTGTTTTCCGACACGTATTCACATTTTCCATCACCAGCATCTCATCGTTACACACGCTACAGTACCGCCTTGTCCCACGAAGTTTCACCGCATTATATCCTTCTTCAACCCGCCTAGTGCAACCTCCTCGAAGTTTCTTCACCGCTTCAAGATGACTTCCAAGCTCCTCCTCGCCCTGACCAGCATCATCTCTCTTGCTGCGTCCCTACCCTCCGCACCTCGCGAATGCTCCCAAACCTCGGTTCCGCCCAGCGCGTCAACCGCGACCCCGGGTTTGATCGCCCATCCCCAACACTTCAACGTCTACCAGTCCGCCAACCAACCGAACCACCCCACCGACAACGTCCCGCATCTCGACCTCCACACCAACATTACCCGCCAGGTCGTCGTCTTCACCGGCATCCCGCCATCAGCCAAGACCTGCTCGCTCGGTTGGCGCCAGGGCCCGATCGAAACCCGCGTCTTCCGCGTCGATGGCAATGGCCTCGTCTCCTCGCGCCAGCTGAAGTCCGAGGGCTTCCCGACGTGGACCAGCGGCAGCGACGTGCTGATCAACCCCACGACGATCGCACCGTTCCAGGAGGGCAGCGAGTTCGTCCCGGGCATGGACTTCACCTTCTGGGACCAGCCCGAATTCTCCGCCCCAGCGACGCACGGCGGCCCGAGTGTCAAGTGCCAGGAGAGGATCGTCGTTGAGCTGGCGGTCAACTTCAATAATGGACAGGATGGACGCGTGTTCATGCAGGATGATGCCGAGAATGGATTGTATATTTCGTACTCCTAGGGATTGTTTCGTCGGACGCGTTGGAGTTAATGGCGTCGTAATCGGTTGACTTGGGGAGTTTGGGCTCTTTTTGGCGTCGAATAGTCAGCTTGTTTTGCCCTAATAATACAACACATATTCGAGAAGTTTTAAAGTTCCTGTTCTGGTGTCCGTAACTGACTTCACTGGCTGGGAGAAGGGGGTGCGACTTGAAATATCTTGCTGTCTAAGTGGTGGCTCTGGAGTCTAAGTTGAGCTATGCCTTCCCCGTGATTCTCGAAAGCCGACTGGCATTTCGATAGGCTACGGCGGAGATCCCTTCAAGTCAGGGTCGGACAAGGTGCCTATCGCCAACCATGATGTGCCTCATGCTGTTACGGGTTGTCAGGTACGCCCAAAAATGAAACATGTCCAGGCGGAGAGTATTCTCAGTAATTGACAGGCAAGTATACTTATATCCCAGAAGTATCGTTATCAGGCTTCTGTTCATAGTATTGAAAGGATCAGGTAGTCAAAACGTAGCATGACCAATGTTATACCTCAGATGGACCGGGCAGTCTCCTCGAACATTCTCTCGGCGGAGACGTAGCCTTGGATTGTGGCAAAGACGCCGCCGGCCGTCACCTCGAGCTGGACGTCTTTGGCCCGCGGGCGCCGGCGGTTAGTTCTCGTGTCGGTACAGTCGCGGTGAAGCTCGACCCAAAAGTCCTTCCACTCGTTGGAGTACTCGAGCCGGACTGTGATTGTTGCGATCTGTGGCTCCATCAGAGAAGCTTGCGACACGGCGTGTCAGGTATGCTCGAGACCGGCGGCGGCAGCAGGGCGGAAGTAGGGCTCCATGGCGTCGCCTGGCTCGTAATACTGACTGGGTGCGACCTGGATTGCGGTCTCCAGAGGGCCGTTGAGCGTCCAGAAGAGCTGCCTACTGGCTGCTGATGCGAGTTTGGATATGCTTCTTCTATCATTTCCGAGATTCCCTCAATGCTGCTGACAACGGACAAGCCGGTTGTGTCCATAGTTGATGGTTGTGTGTGTGTGTTGGAGACGCGAACCAGAGCAGCCAGCAGGAGTTTTAACGAACCTTTGATGATATTTTTGTGCCTCAAAATTGGAAGGAACCCGTGGACCTACCGCCCCAGCTCGGGTTGGAAGCTGCGCCGCAGCGCCTGCCTCCTCCTTCCTCCAAAGTCCATCCCACGGCCCCGCCCCGGCAAAAGCGGGGCTCCCACTCACGACCGGCGCCCGACCGAAACGCATTCAATCGAAATCATCATCAGACGCATTTCATTGCAAAATGAAGCAAAAAACAAAGAATTCATCGCCGAATGAGGCAAAAGAAACATGACAAGAGTGGGATTCGAACCCACGCCAATTTCTTGACTAGCACCTGAAGCTAGCGCCTTAGACCGCTCGGCCATCTTGCCTGTTGACGACAAGTTTCCAAATCTAGAATATGGAGCCTGAGTGACTGAGGGCAACAGCAACACCGTCGTTTCCTCTCGCCAGGTCGTCTTTTCACAGGCCAGCTCAGTCCGGGCTACTTATCTTAGCTTCTGCATCCGAATTATCTCACAGAAATTGCTGCTTTTGACCGAATGGCGAGCCGATCCACAGCACGTCGTATGGACCCAACGTTCTAAGCACCAACCTCAGGGCGATGAAATTCTCCAACAGACCGGTGTCCCAGGCGAGGTTTGATGGGCTTGCTCAATGGCAGGGAGATATGTCCAAGCACCTTTTCTACTGAATGAACTTTTGGGGGATGGAGATCTAATATTCTCACGTAGGCTTGGTGCATCAAAGAGAGATCAGATCTCTGTAAGAAATTGATATGAAGTTGATAATGATGAGCATATGCTAGCTCGGATGCCTCAGTCTCGGTAAGGGTACCATCCTGTGGCTCCTTCCAAACCCCCTCACTCATTTTGTGTTGAGTTTCATTATCTAGCGCGCCAGTTTCTCTGCAACTAGCCTACTTAGAGATTAAGAAATTCTTGCGTCTGCAAGTGCTGTGCCGCACATGTTGCGCAGGCTGTCTCATTTGTGTAGTGTGAGCACGGAAACTTGACAGGAGTTGTAAGGGTGAGCTTCAGGTGTTGAGAGCTCATCAAAGGGCCTCTTCATGCCTGGGTTATACACTCAGAATAATTAACGGGTAATATAGGAAAGAAACATGAGATTACCACACGCCACCACGCTAGGACCAGCTCATTTTCTTCGGCCTGAGTCCCAGAGGCATTTTCGACGAGGAGGGGCTTCATGGGGTTTTCTGCTTATCCACCGGAGACCCTATTACCTATATCGCAAGGTCAACTCCGAGACTTGATCACGAATACAAAGTTCAAAGAAGACGATATTCGTTTACTCACAGCATCACACAGACTTGGAAACCTACAAGCATGTCTACCGCTCAACCTCATCAACACCCCCATCCCCCAGCTCCCTCTCAAACGTCATCTGGATATCCACAACCTGCAACAGCTGCCCGACATCCAGCTTCCGCTTCTTGTGCGCCGCCAGGCTCTTCGCCGTGCGCACCACATTCTTAATCTGCCGCCCGTTCAGGTTCCCCTCCGCAAGCCTCTCGTACCCCTCCTCGTCCACCTCCACGCCGCCTTCCACTCCCGCCAGGAAGTTCTTCCACACCTTCAGCCGGCTCTCCTTGGGCAGATCGTCATACTTGAGCGGCACGTGGATCCGGCTCTTGAACGCATCGTCAAACGTCCGCACGCGGTTCGTCGTCATGAACAGAATGCCCGAGTAATACTCCAGCGTGCGCAGGAAAATCGACACAAGGCTGTTGCGCCCCAAATCATGCAGCGAGCGCCGCTCGAGGAACACATCCGCCTCGTCGATGAGCAGCACCGCCTTCCACGTCGACGCCAGATCCAGCGTCTGCCCCAGCTTCTCATCCAGCGCCTCCGCTGACGTGCCCAGATCGCCAGAGGACACGATGTACAGCGGCCGCCGGCTGAACTCGGCCACGCACTCCGCCGTCAGCGTCTTGCCCACGCCGGGCGGGCCGTGCAGCACGAGAATCAGGCCCTTGCCCTTCCCCTTGACGATGTCGTCGAACTCGGCCCCCGCGGTCGCGCGCGCCGTGTGCTCCGCCACGAGCGCCTGCACCAGCTCCTTCTGCGTCTCCGGCAGGACGAGCTGCTCGAAGCACTGCGTGTTCCACTCGATATCACGAATCTTATCGACGAAGAAGTCGAAGAAGCGCTTCTCCGCGAAGCTGAACCCGCGCACCGTCGGGGCAGCCAGCAGCGCCTGCTCGTCCGTCAGCGGCGCGAACTTATCGGCGGGCGTCTCGCGCGGGACGAGGTCCATCTCGTCGCTGTCGAGCGCCTGCTTCCGCTTCTGCCCGGCGGTCTTGGGGAACGCGGTGACGGTGAAGGCGTCGTCGGCGTTGATGCGGTGGTGCGTCTGCGCGTCGACCATGACGCGGCCGTCGATGTTGTACCGCCGCATGCGCTCGTCGAGCGCGACGCCCTTGTACTCGCGGAAGTTCTGGCCCGCGAGCGCCTCGAAGCGGCGGCCGCGGTGCGTGAGCAGCGCCGTGACGGCCTCGGGCGACGGGTGGTGCGCGAGCGGCATGGCGTTGAGCGCGGCGACCTCGACGGCGCCCTGGAATGCGGGGATTTGGAGGTACTCGAAACGGGTACCGAAGTCGTCGCCGTCAAAGTCGACGTACTCGACGCCGAGGCGGAGGCCGGGGCTCTGGCCGCAGACGTAGTCGTACGAGCGGAGCTTGTAGGCGCGGGCCTGGCTGAGGCGGGTGGCGTAGACGAGGCACCCGGGGCGGAAGATGGTCCAGAGGTACTCGTAGCTGATGAGCCGCTGGCCGAGGAGGTTGGCTGTGTTTTTGATGGTGTCGGCGAAGTGCTCGTCGATGAAGGCGAGGAGGAGGGGGAGGTGGCGGGCGCTTTCGGAGTCGGGGTCGAGGTCGTTGCCCGCGGCGGCGAGGTCGTCACGGTAGTGGTAGAGGCTGCGAGGGGGGAAAGCGACGGAGATGTCGGACGTCATGTAGGACTGACCGGGGTATATGCCACCGATGACGTCCTTGAGGATGGTCTTGAGCGAGGGAGAGTTGACTTCGAGGGATGTGCGGCAGACGAACTCGTTTTGCATGTTGTACTCGCGGGTGATCTGGCCATGTCAACACCAAGCCTCTCTCTTCAAGGAAATGGATACTTACGCAAAGAGCGTATTTTTCATACCAGTTGGTCTTCTCCTCGGGGAGATCTTCGTCCTCCTTGGGCTCGGCGATATACGCACGACCCTTCTTGGTCCATCGCTTTTCGAGATGCTTCAGCTCGATCTGCATGGGCGCCTTCTCGAGCTCCTCGCGGCGCTTCTTTTCTTCCTCAGTGAGAGTGCCGTTGATCTCTTTCTGATCCTCCTCGTCGATGGGCTCATCTTGGGTGCTTCTGCGGGCGGTTTGCTTGGTGCGAGCCATGGTTTCCGAGGGCTTAGATTGATACCAGTCGGAGATTTTCTGGAAATCGAGGGCAGCTGATTTTTCAATGTGTTTCCTTCCCTTAATGCGGTTCAAGGAAGACATTCTTAGACCAGCGAACGACCTTCTGATCATGTAGTTGGGAGATCAAGGTAAACAAAGTTGAGCCTCAGGGGCTAGGCATAAAAGTCCTAGATGCAGGCAGCCGTACCCCGCTCGGACGAGCAAAGAGTCACCGGCTGCCGGAACCGCATCAGATACACCATGCCCCAGGGTGATGTGACTCAAAATGATATCAAAAGGATCAACAGAATTCGATATCCGACATCGTTCTTTGGGGTATCTGCCTGTTCCGGGGACAGACCTCTGCGGCACGGTCCAGAGACGGGGCGGTTGTTGCCTGCGCTGCCTTGAATCCTGCGTGCCGTTCGCCGCGACCTAGCCTGGCGGCCCGGTAGCCTCACCTTCTGCGGCCTAGCCATCGGACGAAAGACGGCTACGGCGAATCAGAGCGTGGAGAAAAGGACATGGCTAGGCAGAACCGGGGCGGGGAGATCGGCTC